CAAAGCTCTCCCTCAACCGATTAAGATTGATGAATTTAATATATATAATTAGTAATTAAAATTTATATATAAAAATATATATTGAATTTTGTTAGAATGTATAATAACAAAATATATAAATAAAAATATATATTGAATTTATTTAAAGAATGTATAATAAAACTATCCATTTAGTATTTCTTAATTGGGTTAATAAAATTGAGAATAAAAAATAAATAAATAAAAAGTAGTATTTTTTTATTATTAAAATTATATTTAATTGTATTGACAATGAATATATATCTATATTTGTATGAGCCAACTTAATTGTAAAACAAGTAGAATAATCATACTTTACTTTACGAAAATGCATATGCATTATGTGAAATATCATAATTTTGGAAAAATGGTACAGTCCCGTTACGGAATCATTTCGTTGGAATTTTTAACCGTTAGATCATCACGTAACTATCATGAATAGTTGAATAGTTGATGATGGTTACAAATCCCAATGGATGATGGATGATTCTGTAAGGAGACCATAAAATCTCCCCATAATTTTGTTATTATATTTTAAAGTACGGCATTTCATTTCAAAAAATACATGTAGATGTAAGAAAAGTTGGAATTACAAGAATAAGTAAACCATAAATTTTACAAAAGCAATGTAATTTGTTAACATACTCAAGAATTAAATTACACTAAAAAAAAAAATGTTCATAGATTATATATATGTTTATATATAAAGTGGACTTTATAGATGAAACAAAATTTTCCCAAAAAATAAAAAAATAAAAAAAATAACCTAATGTATTTCAAATAAAAAAGTAGAGACCCCCCATCTTTAAATTTTTTTTTTTCCTACCTGCATTCTCATGAAGAGGTCACCACAAGAATGAAATCCCTTCTTCCTATTCTCATCAAATTGTTTGCAGGCTTTTCGAAAAGCTTCGCGCTCGTCTGGAGTTCCCTCGTTCGGCTCGTACTCCCAAATTTGTCGACCCACGAAATTATTCGTGCTGTATAAATAAGGGCCATGGCCTTCAGCAATCTTGAGCTTCCACATATCTTTTTTTATTCTCTCTTCTGCAGAATTTATGTATCATTTCAAACATATTATAATTCAGAAGTTATAACTACTAATATAATATAAAGTTTAGTACTGCAAATGAGTAAGTAAAATGATTCATGCATATTAACACTTAACAACATTGATTTATGATATGATGATTTTGAAGATAATATCATGAATTATATATACCAGCAGTACTAGTTAATTATATAAACTGATTGTGAGGGGAAAAAAATAAAATAAATTGGGAAGTTGCATACTTAGGCAGGGGAAAGAACAATACACTATACTTAATTATCAAAAAGTAAAGAATATTACTTGGGTTTGATAGTTGTAATACGGTTGGCTATATAAATAAATACGAGAAATCTTCTTTAATGCCGAATTCACCAAACTATTAGACTGACATACTTTTTTTTTTTT